ATTTTTTTGGCGGATTTTGGGGGATTTTCTGGGGATTTTTGGGGGTTTTTCATGGATTTTTTGTGGTCTCGGGTCAGCAAAAAATCTGCTTGAAATGACTCAAAAATGCCAAAAAAAATTCACCCAAAAAATCCTCACAAAACCCCCAGAATTCCTAAAAAATCCCAAAATTCCTGTAAATTCCAAAATTCCCAAAAATTCGTGAGGAATAAAAAAACCACATTAAAAAGCACCAAAAATCCATTAAAAAAATCACTAAAAATCCCTTTTTTTTTCCTGAAAGTCCCAGTTTTTTCCCCGAAATTCCTAAAATTCCCAAAATTTGGGGATTTCTCGCCTGGGACGAGGACGGAGGTGAAGCCCCGCCCATGCCCCGCCCCCAGCACGTCCTCCCCAAAAGCTCCCCCAAAACCCCCAGAAATTCACCCAAAAATTCCAAAAAAATTCCCAAAAAACAGAATTCCCAAAATTCCTTAAAATTCAAAAAATTTCCAAAATTTTTGAAAAATTAATCATAAAAACCTTCCAAAATGCACAAAATACAAAGAAAAACCATAAAAAAATTATGAAAAATCCGTAAAAAATCACAAAAAATCGCTAAAAATCCCTTTTTTTTTCCCAATATCCCAATTTTTTTCCCAAATTTCCCCAAAATTCGGGAATTTCTCACCTGGGACGAGGACGGAGGTGAAGCCCCGCCCATGCCCCGCCCCCAGCACGTCCTCGAAGGGGCAGAAGCAACGGCCGGGGAGGGGAACCAGAGCCCACCTGGGGCAAAACCTGGGGAAAAAATGGGAAATTTGGGTGAAGAAATGGGAAATTTGGGATTTTAGGGGAAAAAATGGGATTGTTAGGAGAAAAAATGGGGATTTTAGGACAAAAAATGGGACTTCTAGGACAAAAAATGGGTGTTTTAGCGCAAAAAATGGGGATTTTAGGGGGAAAATTGGGGGTTTTAGGGGAGAAAAATGGGATTTAGAGGGAGAGGTTGGAAAAATGAGAATTTTGGGAAAACTTTGGGGAAAATATGGGGATTTTAGGAAAAAAAATGGGACTTCTAGGACAAAAAATGGGGATTTTAGGAGGAAAAAATGGTGTTTTAAAGACAATAAATGGGGATTATTGGGGAAAACTGGGATTTAGGGGGAAAAACGAGATTTTGGGAAAATTTGGGTGAAAAAATGGGAATTTTAGGGAAAAAAAGGGGATTTTAGGGCAAAAAAAAGAGGATTTGGGGGGCATTTTTCAGTTTTTTTTTTTCATTTTCAGGGTTTTCCCCCCAATTTCCATTTTTCCCATTTCTGGTTATTTTTTGGGGTGATTTTGGGGTTTTTTGGGGTTTCTGACCTGCAGCAGATCCCCGCAGGCCACGCCCAGGAGCCCCCGCTGGCTGAAATCGAGGCTGGCCACGCCCACCGGCCACGCCCACTCCTGCAGCACCCCGAGGGTCCTGAGGTCAAAAATCCGCAACTTCCGGTCCAATCCCGCCGTGGCCATCAGCCTGAAATGGGGAAAAAACCACAGAATTTGGTAAAATTGATAAAAAATAAAAAAAACCCCATCAAAATCCATCAAATCTGTCAAAAACTGCAAAGAAATCCCATAAAAATCCCTAAAATGGGTCAAAATCCGCGACTTCCGGTCCAAACCCGCCGTGGCCCAACCCAGCCTCAAAATTGCCCCAAATCCCTCCAGAATTCCCAAAATTCTCAAGTTTTTCCAGATTTTCCCAAAAATCTGACCTTCCTATGGGGTCCACAGCAATGGCGCAAAAATCTCTCAAAATCCCATTACAGAATCCCCAAAATCCACCTTAAAATTACCCTAAAAACCCCAAAATTCCCTAAAAGTCCCTTCCAAATTGCCCCGTATCCTTCTAGAATTCCCAAAAATCCCAAATTTTCCCAAAATCC